GCACCACGTATCGTTTTTAGGCAGGTCCTATATAAACAGCGACTTTTTAAATGTACCTTTTGCTGGCAATGGAGACTAGCAAGAGAAGATGAACAGCGGCTCCCGCAGGGCGACTCACAGGCTGGCAAAGGGGGCCTCGGAAAAGCTAGCAGAACTAAACACAAATTGGATTCCTGGCTCATTTGCGCATACCAAGGTGCTGTCCGTTTCCCACACCGGTGCTGTGCTGGGCCTGGCTGAGGTTAGGACTGAGGGAGGTTATGCTACTGAGGTGCAGCGTCTTGGGCTGCTAGATTGGAACAAACCGAACGAAGGCTTGTCTACACTCAAAAGTTAATTCAGATTAAGGTAGGGCATGAATTTACATTGCAGTAGCTATTCCCGAATAGAGTCAAGGATTCTGGCAGAAGAGTGCCTTATTTCCTGTTTATCTTAATCCAGATTAAACTACAGCAGAACCAATTCCCTCAATCCAGACTCAGTGTCCACACAGGATGCTAATCAGGTATAGCTATTCCAGAGTAACTCCCAGTCCCATGGACAAACCCAGACACCAAAACTGGAGAGGGGATAGGGAAGGGGGGGATGGGTTTAGTCCTGACACAGAACACGCTCTTCCGCCAGTGACCTGCAGGAAGGGAGTTTGTCGAGTCTCAGTCATCTCCAAAGGTGGCCACATCCCCCAAAGACACTGCAGGCCGCCCGTTCTGGAGGCCCCAACAGTTGGAAGGAAAAGGCTGCTGGGCTCGAGACGTGCTTTGGTCATGGGTGAGACACCAGGGACTTTCATTTATTCTCTGTTGCCACCAAAACAACAACAAAAAAACCCCAACAGTCTTCACTGTTTATGTAGGACCTACCTAAAAGCACTATGCCTGGCTTGCAGAGGAGCAACTCCCACTGGACTTTAATTGGAATTGGGGGGGGGGGGGGAGGCTGTGTTCTTTGCAAGGGGCAGAATGCCCCCCCACCCCACCCATGCTGGATGGACAAACAGATGGACATCCCCCATCCCCGCTTTGTGGGGGGGAGACAAACACCCAGCAGACTGGAGCCCGGGGGCTGGATTGGACAGACGAGCCCTGGAGACTGACATACAGAAAGTCATCACACCAGTCCTAAGGAGACAGACACACCCCATGAGCAGTCTAGGAACAAGCCCGCAGCCCTAGACACACCCTGTCCCCCAAACCATCACACCAGCACCCTAGGGAAAGACACGTTTATTTCCAAACGTCTAAGGCAGTGTTACAAATAACGGCGAGTAGAAAAGAAAGAGTAAAACTCGTCGAGCCCGAGAGTGTCAGAGCTTGGGGACAGAGCCCAGCCCCCTGTCAAAGGGAGTGCCCAGGCGCCTACCGCAGAAGGGTCGTTCGTATCCTCAAGGTTTGATCCTGATCCCATTCAACCCGCGGGGTGGAGGTGGGGGACGTCACAGGATGAGGAGCGGGGCAGGGTTAACTAACACGTGGTAGCCACCCTGATCCCTTTTCCTAAGCATGCCCCTCCCCACTGCAGCTTTTCTGGGGAGGAGGCTGTCTAGACGAGGACGAGGGATCGGGCAGAACCAGAAAAGGACGGGAACAAGAGATGCTTTTTGTGGGATATTGGCCATTTTTGTGGGCTCGGCCACCGCTGACCTGGAATGGCCACAAGCATCTCGGTCAATTCTCCTCCTCCCTGGGAGGCGCTGGGATCCAATGTGCAGTCACCCGGGAGCCGGGGTAACCGCCCTCTCCCCCCCTCGAGCTGCAAATCCTGCTGGCTGCTGCTAGACCAGGAGTGTCCTGCATCACTCAGCATCTTGCAAACCTCTGAGAGCCTCCCCCGACCCAGCTA